GTCATTAACATAAATCAGGAAGAGTACTGGGCCTAAGACAGAACCCTGTGGGACACCACTTTCCACCTTTACCCATTCCGAGGTAGAATTACTAACGACGACTCTTTGTAGTCTGGAGGACAGAAAACTCCTGATCCATTTATTCCGACTGTAGCCTGCCAAATTACCTGGCCCGGATAGAATACCCGAAGTAGAACTTCGTGGACTTGCTAATGAACTGTGCGAAGCATTGTCTACAATATTTAAAGTCATTTTAAGAAGGTGAACTCCCAGAAGAATAAAATTGCGCAATCATCCATCGATCAACAAAGTAGGTTCATAACTTGACTGCGAGAATTATCGGCCTGTCAGTCCAACTTGCATCGCTTGCGAAATAATGGGGCGTATTATCAAAAGACAATTGATGATGTGACTGAAAAAATAACATATGACAGTTCGACCATCGGTTTCGATCATGTCCACCGTGTGCCCCACAGTTGCAGCAGCAATGGAAGCAGGGACGGTGACTTACGCAGGGGTGTATAGTGCCGGTAGACTTGCGTAGCATCTACCTACACTCTCTCCTACTCCCTCGCCCGAGCCCGGTGTCAAGACAGTGTCAAGAAGACCGGAGACGAGAGAGGCCGCAGGTGGATGGCTCGGACGGATCCTCACCCTGGCGTTCCACCACACCCCCTGGTCCACACAACAAATAACCAGGATTTGAACCAACACAAGAGAGATTTGGAGGCTGGCACGGCCGAAGCCGCACCTGGGCGTGCCGCCAACGCCTGGCTCGGATCCCACACTGTGATGGGAGTGCCATAAAGGCCACATTAAAAGGGAGTCATTGCAGCCTGACTCTCAGACCGCCTCCGGTCAAGGAGGAGGTCCAAGATACCCCGTCATTTGGCAACCTTCCAAGTTACGGCATTTAGCGTACCGTGATAGCTTCAAGCGCGTCAGATTGTTTATAGTGAGGAGGAAGTGCGCTGAGTCGTCGACCTCACTCTCCCTTCCCACTCCCGCACCCCAGCCGCTGTCCGAGCCGGTCAGCAGACTGGAGTGGGGAATGGGCGCGGTGGCTGTCATGGTCGACTGACCATGACTGCGCGCGCCACGGCACGACCTGGCCCCCCATACACACAACACCAGGATTTCACACAATGGGGGTTGAACGGCGTGTCTCTCGCTTATGTGAGAGTGCCGTGGGAGGTGCTGTTTCAGCCCATCCCCAGCCCCCCAGTCCGCCACTCCACACAACACACACACACACACACACACACAACGTGACGAACTGCGTGAACCGAGAACGGGCGTCAATCAGCAACCTTCCTATCCACGACGCTTGACGTGTCGGGATAATCTCGAACTTAAGTCACCCGTGCAGCCGAAGCCGCATGGGGACCGAGTCGAGATGCGGACTTCCCACTTGTGTGGGAGGTGGCAGTTGGGTGCATGAGGTGTGTGAGTGTTGATTTCTGGTGGGGTGATGGTGGTGGTGGAGGAGGTAGGGAGTGAGTGAATGTGTGGTGTGGCCGGCGGTTGTCTACCGCAGGTCGTCGTGGATGCGCATGTGGCCGAATAGGCCCATGCGATGCCTGAAAGTGCGAGGACAGTGTGGGCAGTTGAGACGAGCTTGGTGGGTATAGGTGGGTGCTCCAGACACTGGTTAGCCAGTCTCTGTGCGATGGATTCGCAAGTGACCGACTAGGCCGATGCGTGAGGTGAATGTGCGTGGACAATGTGGGCATGAGAAGTCGGCGGTGTCAGTGTCAGCTACAGAGGAGGCGGTGGTGGTGGTGGTGGTGGCGCGGACGGATGAAACGAGAGTGGGGGTGTGCACGGTGGATGTGTTGGATGTAGTGGGTGTGTCGGGAGTGCGGTCAAGGCCGCTCTCGTGGATGCGCATGTGGCCGAAAAGGCTCATGCGATGCCTGAAGGTGCGAGGGCAGTGTGGACAGTGGAGGCGAGTGTGGTGGGTGTAGGTTGGTGCTTCTCGCACTGGTTCGCCAGTCTCTGTGCGATGGATTCGCAAGTGACCGACCAGGCCGATGTGTGTGGTGAAGGTACGGTCGCAGTGTGGGCAGGTGTAGTCCTGATCCTCATCCCTGGAGTCGGGGGAGGTGGTGGTAGCGTCGGTTGCTGTGCGAGGGACAGTCGCTTGAGCGGCCGCCGTTGGAGCAGTGGGCGAGGAGGAGGATGAGGAGGAGAAGAAGAAGAAGAAGAAGAAGAAGAAGAAGAAGAAGAAGAAGAAGAAGAAGGAGGAGGAGGAGGAGGAGGAGGAGGAGGAGGAGGAGGATGGAAGTAGTGGCGCAGCTGAATTTGCCTCAGTATGGCGTAGATGCTGAGGATTCCCGTCAGTTCCAGCACATCAGTGTCGGATATTCGATCCTGCCATTTTAGCCTCAGGATGCGACGAAGACAAATGAGGTGGAAGTGGTTCAGACGACGTGCCTGCTTTGCGTACACCGTCCAAGTCTCCGCTCCATACAGTAGCGTCGGCAGGATGACGGCCTTGTACATCTTCAGCTTCGTGCTCAGTTGGAGACCATGACGATTCCAAACTGTGCTTTGGAGGCGACCGAAGGCTTGACTGGCTTTTGAGATCCTGTTGGCGACTTCGTCGTCGATCTTGGTGTTGCGGGAGAGAGTACTGCGCAGGTACGGGAAGTTCTCCACCACTTGCAGTTGGGTCCCATTCACGCTGATTTGCGGCGGCGCGTTGGGGGCTGTGACTGAGTGGGGTGGCGGTTGGTGCATCACCACCGTCTTCTGCGTGTTAATGACAAGATCGAAGTTCTCGCAGGCGGCGGAGAACAGGTCCAAGCTCCGTTGCATCTCCTCTTCCGAGGTGGTGTTTAGGGCGCAGTCGTCGGCGAAGAGGAGTTCGTGAACGGTAGTTGTGGATACGCGCGATTGGAAGTGCATCCGCCGTTGATTCAGGAGGTGACCGTCCGTCCTGTAGGCGATGCGGATCCCGGGGCGTTCGTCGCGGTAGGCGTCCATCAGCATGGCAGAGAACATGAGACTGAAGAGGGTAGGCGCCAGCACACAGCCCTGCTTCACTCCATTGGTCACTGCGAATGCCTCTGAGACAGCTCCGTTGTCCGTGACTCGCGCCACCATACCGTCGTGCAGCTGACGCACCATCTGAGTGAATCGCTCCGGACAGCCGAATTTCTGCATGATCTTCCACAGTCCTTCACGATTCACCGTATCGAAGGCTTTGGTTAGGTCCACGAAGTTGATGGGCGGCGAAAATCATATCCGTGGTCCCACGATGACGACGGAAGCCGCATCGGCTTTCCGGCAGAAGGCCCTGTTCCAGATGGTTATTGAGGCGGTTGAGGAGGATTCGTGCGAAGATCTTCCCGGCGATGTTCAGTAGGGAGATGCCGCGGTGATTGTCGCAGACTTGGCGATTCCCTTTGCGCTGGTTGCTTCTTTGAAATCTTGCGGGACTTCACCTTGACGCCACATCTCTTGGAAGAGCGCAGTCAGGTGATCCATTAGTTGGGGACCTCCGTGCTTGTAGACCTCAGCAGGGATCGCGTCCGATCCGGGTGCTTTCCCGCTGGAGAGCTGCTGCACGGCCCTGATGGTCTCCTGGAGAGATGGCGGGAGGTCGAGGTCCACGTTGGTCTCCACTTGCGGCAAGCGGGCGATGGCGGCGTCGGAGATGACGGAAGGGCGGTTGAGGACGCCCTGGAAATGCTCGGCCCATCGCTGCAGGATTTGCGTCTTCTCAGTCAGGAGAGTGCTGCCGTCGGCGCTGAGGAGAGGAGCAGTGCCCTTCGTCGGCGGACCGTAGACAGCTTTGATCGCGGAGAAGAAGTTCTTCCATTCGCTGCGGTCCGCGTACCCTTGGATCTATTCAGCTTTGCGAGCAGTCCAGGCGTCCTGCATCTCAGGCAGTCGTTGCTGAAGCTGTCGGCGACTGCGGTAGAAGGCAGCTTTGGTGGCATCAGTGGGGTGATCTACGTAGGCTTTGTGTAGGCGGTTCTTCTCAGCAAGCAGATTTCTGATGGCGGCGTCGTTGTCGTCGAACCAGTCCTGGTGTTGGCGGGGAGCGCGACCGAGGACGGCGAGCGCCGTTGACTGGATCGTGTCTCGCAGTTGACACCAGCGGTTCTCCACGGATGCGTTCTCGGCAGCGGCGGCGTCGTCGGCGGCAGCGATAGGAAGATTGTCTAGCGTTTGAGCTAGCTCATTGCTAAAATGAAGATGGTGAGCGGGCAAAGACAACAAGGCAACATTCAGCTTACCTGGGGGTCGCTTACCTTGTGGTCTCCTGCGAGGCTGTAGGCGAATACGCATCTTCGAAATGACGAGGCGATGGTCGATCCACCCGTCAGTACCCGTGATCGCCTTCGTCACCAGCACGTCCCGCTGATCTCGCCTCCGGACGAGGGCATAGTCCAGCAGGTGCCAATGACGCGACCGAGGATGCCTCCAGGTGGCCTTCTCTCGCTCCGGCAGATAGAATAAGGTGTTCGTCAGGATGAGGCGATGTTCTGCGCAGGTGCGGAGAAGCAGCAGACCATTGTCGTTTGAACCGCGGAGACCGTGGGGACCCAGCACTCCTCTCCAGGCAGTATGGTCTGTGCCGACGCGGGCGTTGAAGTCACCAAGGACAATCAACTTGTCCGTCTTCGACATAGTCGCCAAGAGAGCGTGCAGGTCCTCGTAGAATTTGTCTCTGACGGCGTCGGGGTTGGTCATCGTCGGAGCGTAGGCGCTGATGATGGTGGCGAATTTGCCTCGCCAGAGAGGCAGGCGGAGGCTCATCAGGTGATCGTTGATGCCCTGCGGCAAACAGGGTAGTCGTCCCACGATGTCGTTCCGAATGGCGAAGGCGACGCCCGCGTCCCGTCGCTCTGCCCTGGATCGACCGCTCCAGAAGAAGGTGTAGCCGGCACCCACCTCCTCCAGTTGGCTTTGTTCGGAGAAACGGGTTTCGCTGAGTGCGGCGATGTCCACCTTGTAGCGCGCAAGTTCTCGTGCCACTAGCGCCGTCCTCCGTTCCGGTCGGTTGCTCCTCGGATTGTCTAAAAGGGAACGAACATTCCAGGCTGCCAGAGTGAGCGGGCTCACCCTGTCAGTCTGGGGAAAACGAGTGGGGCGATGGGAAGGAGGTGGAGAAGAAGATGACGAAGGAGAAGAATAGGCAGAAGAATAGACGGAGGTAGAGGAAGAAGAGGTAGGATGAGGAGAATGAGTATGGTTGTTGTTGTTATAGGTATTGTTGTTGTTTCGATTTTGATTGTTTCGACCATGATAAGACGTCTGCGGCCCTGGCTAGCCCTGAGACGGCGTGGTACCCAGCAATGTTTAGGCCACCTATTCTAGGCCCTTCCCCTCGTGGGGGCTGGCAGTGCCATCTCTGAATAGGGCTGCCATGTGCCGTTGTGGCACGGCCGAACTCCACTATGGGACCACGAATTCGGGTTGTAGTGGAGAGCGACTCGAATTCGCCGTAAGCCGCGGTCTCCGTCGGCGAGGGTGGGCGCGTCAAGGCGATGTCGATGTGGAGATCCATCCCGTCACCGGCTGTCAAGCGGCGTGCAGAGACGAACCACGTCACGACGGTGCCGACGCAAGGTTCCATCCGACCTTCCATCCAGCGGAATCCGCAAACCCTGTGCACACGGCACAGCGCACAGGGCCCCCTCACCTGGTTTAGCCCGCCGGTCGAGACGGTTGCCCGGGGTGTGGCCGCTGAACAGAGTCCAGTTACGTACAGCCACAGGTGAGAGTTGAGTGCCAGCAAGTGGACCCTAGGCGCAGTCTCACCTGCAAGCAAGTGAGCGACCACCAACATGGATTTTGTCCAGGACGCTATTGCCTCACGAGTGCTGTTTACTCGCACGGGAAATGGAAAAGGGCCACAGATAAAAAGTATCCATTAGATGACATTTTTGGTTTCAAGAAGGTCTTTGATAACGCCACATACAGGCCTACTTTACAGAAGGTTTGGTGTGTACGAATTTGAGGAAGCAATTTTGAATAAATTAAGACTTTTCTGTCCTCCAGAGTACTGTGAGTCATTGTTCGTAACTCTGCCTTGATGTGGGTGAAAGTGAAAACTGGTGTCCAAAAGGGTCCTCTTATAGGTCTACCACTCTTCCTGATTTACGTAGATGATTTAATCAGCAAAGTAGACTTCGAGGCACTCATCTTGGAGGATCACATAAACATATGGAATGAAGACGCGCGCAGCACGATTTTGAAAAGATTAATGAAAGTTATGCAGCGTATCCGGCTCGGGCCGTCAGGACATCATGCCGCAAACGCGTGATAAGCGAACGATCAAGGTCATGGCCCCCTGTTCACACCGTCTTTATACTGATTGGCCACCCATTAGCCTATGACAGTTTCCCTTGCCATATACCCGGCCGTTCCCACAAGCCACCTCACTTGTGCTGTCTATCGTACTCAGTACACGTCCTATTTCCAATTACCCTTCTGTTTTGCATACCTAACATTGGCGACGCAGCCTAACGAACATGTCTTCATTGCTGCCTACACCATTACCTTTCTGGCCAAAGAACACCCAGAAGCCCTCAAATGACTCGTGGTTGCAATGGAGGAAGACATTTGAGGATTATATTGAACTGCTCCCGATCTTGTCACCTACAGTTGTACTTGACGTCCCATCTAAGTTGAAACTCCTCCGGACGAATCTCGGAGAGTTGGGACAACGATATTTCGATGCATTCAATCTACAAAAAGGCTATAGATCTCCATACAGCCTTCTCAAAACTCGAGTCAGCGTGGGGAGAAAAAGACAACGTCTTTCTCAGTCGCTATCGGTTTTGTCAAATGCGTCAAGAATCCAATCAATGTGTCAGTGATTTTATTTCTAATCTGACTCTGGCCATCCAGGACTGTGGGTATAAAGAGATCAAGGCAGACAACTTCGAGCACGCAATGCTTGTTCAGCAGTTGATCGTCGGTCTGCGCGATGAAAAAGCTCGGGAAAATCTCTTATCAGAGAAGAAGGATTTGTCATGGGAGAAAGCCTGTGATATCGCCAGTCCTAGGGAGCGCGTGCGACAAAACCTTCAGCAGCTGAATCAGTCAAACGATGGAGTGATAGCATCCTTGGAATCTGAAATGGCTGTCTCCCTAGTCAACACTGCTGTGTCTTCACCTAGACAGCGACCCTCAGCTCCCTCAAAACAACCACCATCCTGCTACCGTTGTGGTCAGCATCATATCCGCTGGTCAGACTGTAGACACCAGAAGACGGTATGCCAGTTTTGCAAGAAAGTCGGCCACATCGAAAGAGTGTGTTTCTCCAAAAGACGAGCCAATACTCACACGCATTCAACCTACCCTAATCCAGCTGGGAATGGCGAGGCGATACTCCGAATGTTTTCGGCCAACACACCACTCAAATCGCCCTACACCATCACGCTTCGGGTTGATCGCCATCCCGTAAAGTTTGAAATCGACACTGGCTCAGCTGTTACTCTCATCAATGAGGCCTCCCTTCAGAAATTACCCTCACACCTTCGGGCCAGCTCAACATTCCATAGTTACACTGGACAGAACGAAGAAATTCGAGGAGTCTTTACAGCGGAAGGCGAGCATGATGGAGAACTTCATTACTTGCCGGTTCATGTGGTGAGAAGAAGCCAGCAACCAAATCTCCTTGGACGGAATTGGATTAAATGCGTGCTTTCTGTGCTATCCTATGTACATCGGATTGGTGTAAATCCGGCTTTAGATTTAATTTTGGTAAATCATAAGGATCTATTTCGTGACGATTCGGCTACCCACTACCGCGGTCCACCTGTTAAGTTTCAGTTTCAGTCAGATTTCCGGCCCCGGTTCTTCAAAGCTCGTACAGTCCCCTATGCACTCGCAACGAAGGTCGAAGAAGAGCTGGATAGCCTACAGAAAGCGGATATTATTGAGTCCGTGCAATATTCCGAATGGGCAGCCCCAATAGTTCCTGCTCTTAAGGTCAAGGCGCGCAGCTCAATTTCAAAGATAAGTGAAGCTCTGCATTTATCTGGATATTCTTAAGTAATTAATGCCTGTTTTTTACTTGAGTCCATTTTAAAAGTCGCCTTTCAATACAAGATATAATTTTTCCCAGTTTTATTTGACGGTCTTGCAAAATGGTCGTATTTTGTAAAAAACCTTTGTAGTGACTCCTTTTCCTACTATCTCTTTCTATTTGTCGTAGTTAAACAACAGTTGCACTTGCTATTAAGTGGGATTTTCCGTACGTTGGCAACGTGTTGACCATTCTTCTGTAACGAAAAAACTTTTCCTGTCTGTAATGCCCCGCAGAGCACGTGCTAAAAGGCGAAAGCTTGCGGCCTCCCCACCGTCTCTGGGTGCTAAAATCGTGACCGAAGACATAGCAGGTGCCAGCGTATATTCTTCGCCGTCCGCAGATCTGATTAACTCACAAAACCCTTTAGTACATGTAGAACCTCTTGACCCAAAAATGCGCCTCTGCTAGTCGTAGCAGGCCATCAACCGGCGAAATAGTCGACCAGTTGATTTATGGCGACATAAACAGCACTTCCGAAAAAGTAATCGAACAAGCTTTTAAACTTATTGGGGTAATAAGTTCGGAAACTGAGGAAAGAATTAAGCGCAAGCATAATTTCGTACTGCGAAACATTCCGAGCCACTTATCTGCTATGGAGGGAGCGCATGTGTTCCTACAAAGTTGTGGCTTGAGTCTTAGTGTCGCACAAGCTAAGCGACTTCGCACGCTTAGCCGTAATGCGCCGATACTAGTTACCCCTTTCTCCATGATAGAAGTCGATTTTATCTTGTCGAGTACGGAGATAACTAGAGACTTCTGCCGTAAATGGCGCTGCTCCGTTTCGCCAGACCTCACACCCCTGCAGCGAAGACTGAATAAATTAAATTGGGCAAAAACCAGCACCAAGATAATGACACATACTGTCAGTCTGAATAAGTCCTCTACAACACCATCTGCGGCATCTGCACATCACGGCATAGTCAATTCCGTAGGGAATTCGACTACTTTTAATGCTGAGCTCTTTAAACACACCATCATGCCTGGTATAAACACGCCACTATCGACTCCCCCAGCAACCCCTAGTAAGTCTAAGCACGCGTCTAAGTCAAAGACAAATCCAATTGCTGTCTCAGCCACTCGGACACCCAATAAATCCAGCACCATTATAAAATCTTTTCCTCCACAATCGGCTAACAGTGCCTCAAATACCCCGACTCAAAACGTAGCGGGTTCGCAACTGCCCCCCCCCCCAGCCCTCATATCGAGGCATTTAGGCCGAATATGCCGATTTTCCCACCGTTTAATAGACCTCTTGTTCCAATGGAAACAATACGTCCCCCACCCCCTAACTTTTTTCCTCCACGACCGTTTTACCAATTAATTCCTCATGATAATGTCCATACTGAATCAGTTAATTCATCCGATCCTCAGTTTCGTTCTGGCGGGAATACGTTGCAGTATCTGACCCGCGGATTTCCAGCTGAAAATAAGTTAGCTAACAATGGTTACCTGTTCACCTGCCCGTCATTCCCTCTCCCAAGTCCTACCCCTTTTTATCCACGTCAGAATTTTTTGATGCCACAAAATTTTTTGCAGAACCGGATGGCTGCATCAGGACCGTTTGCTCCATGGGCGACCCAGAACTGGACGATGTAGCCCACCTCCCTCAAAAACTAGCAGCCATTCCCTTCAAACTTTTTGTTTTAAATGCCAGATCCTTGCTTAATAAGATGCCTTTGCTTCAGACTCAGGTGTTCATCCATTGTCCTGATATTGTTTTAGTAACTGAGACGTGGGCATCAGCCTCAGTAGCTGACTCCGAACTCTCTCTTCTAGGCTACAATTGCATTCAAAATGATCGCCAAGATAGCCGTGGTGGGGGCAGCTGCGTCTACGTTAAGCAAACACTTACATGTTTGCCGTTGGACCTCCCGCACTTTTCCGTAGTAGAAGGCAGCTGCTGGCTCCAGGTTGCACTAAAAAATAAGTTCCCCTTACTCGTTGGCTGCGTCTATCGCCCTCCCAACGCCAATGACAATTTTGATCGTTTACTCTCACAGGTATTTCATGCTGCGACTGACTCAAGCTTTAAGTATCAATTGATTGCGGGTGACTTTAATCTTCCCGAAGTCCGCTGGTCTCCGCCTTCAGGCCCAAGAAGGTTCGAAGACTTTCTTGAGGCTGTGGATGTTGGGAGGTGGAATCAGGTTGTCGATTTTCCCACCCGAGGCTCAATCATACTTGACCTAATTTTCTGTAGATGCTGCATGTCATCGTCGATGTCATCCCTAGGCCCACTGGGGGGCTCAGACCATGACATAGTTGTTTCAACGTTGGAATTCGAGGCTGACGAAATGTCGTCCCCAAAGTATAACTTTTTCCGCAATTTCCGATCAACTCGCTCAACCGAATTATTAACACACCTTAATTCCTACGACTGGACTGAGTTCTTCCTTAGTTCGGATGTAAATGTTTGCAATGCAAATCTGTACGAAATTTTGGATCCGCTTATTTCTCGTTTTGTCCCCCGTAAGAAAATTATTAATGTTGGGGATGAGATTTTCCTACCTTTACCCTTTCGTCGCAGATTGCGCAGGCTTTATCGTCGT